CCGTCTTTTGACATAAACGCTCAGCATAAATTCATCAACCTTTTGACCGACACGTCCGTTCGTGTCTCCGCGCACAATCAGCTTCCTCCGCGAGCGTTCCGGAGCGCCGCTCGCTCGCCGCGTGTGACGTTCGGAAACTGAATACGCAACAATTTTTAAAAATTGCTCGAATTTCTCCATATTTCTCCATACGGTCAATTAATAAAACAATGTACGGATTAGACTTGAAAGGAATAAAACATTCATTTGAATCTGAATTTGAAGAAATCAGCCATGTAATATAAAAATAAACATTCGTAACATTAAAACTTTTCATCCCCGTGTGGAGACCACGCTATTATATTCTCTCAAGTATTTTTATCAATGTAGATTAATTTTTTAACCTCGGTTCACTTTATTTTTTTAAAACTTAGATTTTTCTGGTTGCTATTTTCTGACCCATAACTGATAAAAAGTAGACCAGCAATTAATTAGTATCACGGGAAAAAAAGCTTCAAAGTAAATAATATCTTTTCTATAAGTGAATGAAAAAAAGTTAAAAGTTAACAGCTAAATTTAATACAGTTAAAGTTAAATTTTAAACTTAACTTTATATATTTATGCTTGGCAACTCGATGTAGCCGAGCTTTTAAGTATCTCAGCCATAGGGCTTAATTACGTCATCGGTGATTTTGATGCGAGGACAAGCAACAGCTCTATCTACATCCAAGATGACTTTAACAGCGATAATCGCGCGGAAAGCTCATGTCGCAAGAACCGAAACGAATGACGAGATGCGGATGTACGTTCGCAGACTTTATTTCCTTTCATAACATAAACGCAGCGGTCAAGCACGCATCGTGTTGGTTACTATGAATTATGGCTGTGAATTATGCGCATAACAAACATTGATTCAAGTAGTATTATTGTGCGCAATCGCACATAGAATGATCTTCTCGTAATTATAATCGAATCTCTATCCAATTTTGGCGAGATGTACGAATACAATGTGTCCAATAAAAAAAAAAAAAACGCAAAAGTTTTGAGGATATCAATTTTGGATACCACAAAATTTTAGATATCATAACTAAAATTTTGGATATAATAATTTTTAAACGGGAAGTAAAATAAACCGAAGTTACCTGGCACTTGTGAGAGATAAGAACAAAGGTCTTCACAAGTTCTCGGTGAAAACTGATTTGCATTATGAATTTGATTTTAACTGAATCATGCATGGGAGATTACCGGTATGTCTTGGCGAACGCTGACACGCGAATTAAAGCTGGACGAGTTTGATGGCGATAGAGCGAAACGCGAAACCACCACACCGGGTCGGACGGATTCGAGACAGAGTGGCGCGTAGGTGTCGACTATGATAATGTGGTGAAAAATGAGCAGTGAGGAAACGGACGTACGGTAATTCATTCGACATGGTAAACGAGTTGAGTGCATGGCGCGCGCGGGTAATTAATTGCGTTCGCGCTTTGCGCGCGTGGTGCGATGGCGAGCGGTTAGTTGTAGTAAATTCGCGTGATGGAAATACTTGACGAGGCAACGGCGTGATTCACTTGAATGTGAATCTTCTATCGTGAGTCTCCAGTTTCGGAGTTGAAATCAGTTGAAATTACATTGCATTCGTATACACAGCTACAGTCGTTGAATTCTTAATCAATCTGGAAAAAACCTTATGGGATTTATAAGTAATATTTATACATGATTTATAGTGCATTCTTTTATTTTAAGCCGAAATAAAATAGATCTTTTTCATGTTGGAAGAAATGGAGATCGTTATATTAAAGACGAAAATGTCATTCATATATCTAATATTTTATGTGACAGTATGACGTACTTTATGTGACAGTTTGACAGTTTCATGGGCGTCACGTTTACATCAATATCTGTTATAATTTTTATGTTGCTTTTATTCAAAATTTAATGAATTAATTATTAGTAAGTCAAATTAAAAATTAATTTTAATAATACAAAATTATATACAAAATATTAATATAAAAAAACAGAAGAAGAACATAAGAAGATATATTGTATACTCATAAACGCAGAAAACATTTTCGACACATAATTAAACAATTTTAAATATTATATAATAGATTTTTTCAAATTTTACTTCCATAAAAATTACTTATGTGTTAAAAATAAATCAGGAAAAAATTACTTATGTGTTAAAAATAAATCAGAAACACCATTTAGATCTGTAGCTTCTTTTTCTTGTTTTTTTTTTTTGTATTTGTATAGAAAACAAATTTGATCCTTCTAAGAACAGAAAAGAAAGAAAATTTAACGTTATATTTATTCAAAGGTAGCAGAGAAGCAGCTTTCACGTACGCGATAAGCTCGGCTGGTGTTACATACGCGGTGACCGCAGCTTGCAGCCGTGGCAACATCACAGCTTGCGGTTGCGAACCAGCTGTAAGGTAGTTACAAACTCCAGAACGTTTGTGCACGGCACGCAATTTCTAAGTTATTACCAATTAATATCGCGCCTTTGTAGGACGAGGAAGGAATTACCGCCGAACGGTTGGGAGTGGGGTGGCTGCAGCGCCGACGTCACGTACGGGATGAGGTAATTAAGCTGATAGTCAATTACGTAATTTGCACTATCAGTTTTAGTCGATTTCTCACACCAACTCGCTCGCTTGCGACACGTCACAAAATCTGATGAACGCTAAAACACGCATAAATTTTAATATTATAATTTAATGCTAGGTTCGCGCGTAGGTTTCTGGATGCGAGGGAGGTCGAAGGAGACGCCCGGAGCTTGATGAATCTTCACAATAACAAAGCCGGAAGGAAGGTAAGCGCAACAATAAATCCTTTTGTCTTTATTTCCTTAAAATTGTTAACATTATGAAATAAATAATTTTTTTGCGAATGAAGGATAGAGGTGTCACGAGTCATAGAATATACATCGGCAAAAAAATAACGTTATGTAACGAACATTATAATTGCCGTGAAGCAATACTAATTACTTGCCAGAGAAATTGTTCAGTGCGAAAATTATGCTCGCTGACGTTTGATGACGACATGGCACTTTGCTGTTTCTCAATCATCACATCGTACGTTTATATTTACGCGAGATTCTGAGGTTATATAACAGCGTATCATGTGAGAAATATATAATGCAATTAAAGCGAATGCACCGCATTATTTTTGTTACTTACAAGAAAACGCACAGATTTTTCCATCTTTGATATTTGCCTCGAAAAAAATAACCATTTTTTTTTTTCAAAAGAATATTTCATTCTTTAAAAATATATATGTATAAAGGAATTTTATTGCGACGAAACGTGCTCATTTATTTTCTCATTCGCGTAATCATATTTTTACATGAGAAGATTAAGGAAGAAGAAATACAGCAAGTATTATGTTAATATTATTGAAATGTTAAAAATAAAGATATGAAGAATAGGAACGTCTGATTGTGTATACATGTACGTATTAGCATCGTTGATGTTTTGTAATAGGAAATCTGAGATCGGATAACAGGATGATAACATCGATAATGAGGCGCACTCATCACGCGTCAAGTGTATGCAAGTCAGGCATTATCAAACTTGATTTATCGCCCAATAACCCACGTGGGAAGCCAATTATAGGGAACAAAACAATGTCGTCGTTCCGCGATTCACGCGAACGTAACTGTTCGTCTTGCCTATCATCTAGATGTTTCAATCGTTTCTTTTCTATGAAAATAGGTTCATATTTCACTTTGCGTTAAAAAAATTACTAATTACAGTATTGCGATTTATGTCATGTCGAATTGAAAAGAAATGGAATGACAGGAAGAAAAAAGTAGTCTTTTTTATTTAATTTAAAAACTTCATAATATCTGAACGTAGTCGCATCTGTTTATTCATATAATACATTGAAGCTTCATATTTCAAAAAAATGAAGTAGAAAAAGCATTTAGATTTAAATCGTCTTATTATTAAAATAAATATTTTTGATAAAATAAATATTTCATATTGAAATCTAAATAAATTCAAAATCAAAAGTAATACGCTGTTGAAATTAAAAAAATGTAGACGAGTAATAAAGTATTTTAATGACTAAGAAAGTAAACTTTCTTTTTCGAACGTAATACTTTCGTATTTTTAAAAAGAATTAGAATCTTTTTTTCATCATTATCACGCTCACGTGAAAAGATCGGCGATCGGCGGATGACGAAAGTAAGAGATGATTGCATTACGCCCGAGGTGAAGGCGACGAGGGCGGTGCGCCTTAATTGGGGAAAGTTCGTCGAGCTTTCGTCTACCTCGATCGGCCCTTATTACAACCGGGCAATAAAAACTCGCTATTGGTCGGTTATTACGCGAGTGTACGTGTACGCACGTACGGCTGTGTTCCCCGTACTCGCGGGGTAATGATTTATTCTTAACGTTGATCGTCCCGGCGCGCCACATATTTTATGCCTTGAGGATTTTTTTGAATCTCCGCCGGTGCATGTGGCAGGTCCGCGCGCGGTGCGCCGGAATAATTCGTAATGTCAAACCAGTTTCATGCGCGTACGCGTCGTGTTCGCTCCGCGACGCACAATGAAAGGTGGTTTCCCATCGGGGGAATCGGGCGTGCGTAGGATTTTGCAGATGAACATTCGATACGATTACAACCGTTTAAGATACCGTTTAAGATCGCCGAATCGTTGAGTTAACCGAAGTGTATCTCCCGCGCCAGTGGCGTGGCGAGGCGAAATCCCCACGGTAATTACAACGTTTTCGAGGAACATTGTAATTTTTCATAAGCGTGAGAAAGCAATCCGGATAGGCATTCATTTGCATTCATTTCTTGCATTTCGTTTCTGTGTGAAAGGTATAATGTTCACAATCGAATCTTTTTATTCTTAGTATGCCGAAGCCAAACGGTCTTAGCATTTCGATCTATAGCTTTTCCACAGTCTTATTTTGTTGCAATGAAACGTGCATAAAATAAAAATGCAAAATGATTGTTTAATAAAATTTTTCACTTTATGCATGCGTAATTGAATGAAAAACAAGTCAACGAGACAACGAGGGAAATTTAGGAGCAGGAAGTTAAAAACATTACGAGAAGATTGGATGTAATCATGTATTGTTATCTGAAATCAATAGAAGTATCAATCAAAATGAAATAAAATTATATAATTGAATGGATAAATTTTTATTAAATTTTAATTCAACGAATAAAAATTCTTTTATATGTTTCAATATGATAAAAAAATATAAAACGCACATAAGAAAAAAATATAAAACGCACGGGTTAAATTGCGTATAATATTATGACAATCAAAGCTCTACGCCATTGATCTCTTCGTAATGGACCCACGTGTATCTCCATATCGTTTGAAAATGATGATTCAAGCATCGGACGACGCATTCATTCTCATCGGGCGCATTGTAAGTTTTTGTTTTCATTCTCTCGTTCCCGTTCTCGTTTCTCCAAACCAAAAAGACCCCGATCGCATCTGTAGATTCGAAATTTGCATAGAACACGCGTGTATAATGTAAGGAACAAATCGATGTACACTTTATCAAGCGCACGGGTGTAAGTTGTAATCTGTTTCGATATGACGTATAGATGCGTTTCGAGATTTTACATTGGTCTCCGTCATACATCCCTGTCTATAGAATCGATAGAATGAAAGATGACAGTGATCTTTCACTGCTGGACAGAATAGATCAATACTCAGTAATCCAATGACTCAATATGTAATTCAAGTAAAATTCCATTTTTTAATATCACACTTTCATCTGAAATTAGTTGAACAAAAATTTCGAAAGTTTAAATCTTTTTTTCGATAACAATAATTACGTCTGCGTAATTATGTCATTGTCACATTTTTTGTATAAAGCACGACATTAATGCCCGATTCCACCAACGTAGATTTACTTTAATCTCGATTTAACTTGCTCTTCATCTTTTTCTAATTTTTAGAATCAGAAAAAGATGAAGAGTATGTTGAGCCGAGATTAAAGTTAATCCATGTTGATGGAATTGGGCATTAATGTCAGTTGTCGGATGGAAAAAAAAACTCGTAAAACTCGTGAAGCTGCATAGGTGGACTTATGAAAGTTACGCTACTTGTAACGTTTCATCTTTTCAGATAGTTAAGGCTCTTTTGCAAACGGAATGCAAATGTCACGGGGTATCTGGTTCCTGCACTGTGAGAACGTGCTGGCGAACGTTACCTAGTTTCCGTCAGATCGGCGACGCACTCATGAAAAAATACTACAGGGCTAGACCGGTCATCGCAATTACACCTCCTCCCCCACCCACAGTTCAGGTAGTATGTCAATCGCAAATAAAACGGCGAGGCACGATTAATCAAACATTTGATGTTCCTGTCACTTCCGAAATTTAATGCAAATTACTCGTACGCGACTCGTAATTTACAGACACTGGACACAATATCACACTCGATGCTGCCGGAAATGGTGCCCATATTGGGAAACGATGCCAAAACTCAGGGCAAGCCGAACGATTTCGCCAAGTCGCGGCACAATCGGCAGCCGCTATTGAAAAAGACTGGCAAGTCCAGGAGACCGCATTTGGTCCTGAAAAGGACGAAAGTTAGCGGTGGTTCAAGTATAAGCCTAAAGAGGATTCCAAAAAGAAGCGAGCTGGTTTTTCTTCAACCTTCTCCCAATTATTGTGAGCCAGATTTGGCGCAGGGTAGCCTCGGCACGCAGGGCAGATACTGCAATCGTACCAGCAAGGGTAAAAAAAACCATGATACAAAAGTTGTAAAACCCTATCGATAATGTGCAAATGTCATTAAATATATCCATTTCTTCTTTTCTTCAATCTGTTTAAAATTCTTGCCATAACTTCCTTTAGTATTTCGATTGTTGATATGATGAAACGTTCTATTACATAATTATAATAATTCTTCACAAATTTCACCTTTTCTCGTTCACGACACGTATCATCTTTCTCATTTTCAGGAACTGACGGTTGTGATTTAATGTGCTGCGGACGTGGCTACAACACGCATCAATTCACAAGAACGTGGCAATGCAGATGCAAGTTTCATTGGTGTTGCCGCGTGCATTGCGAGACTTGCATGGAACGTACTGAAGAATACACATGCAAATAACACCATTATCGACGCACGATATGTATATATATTTGCGAAATAGTACATGTAATTATAAACGTTAAACAAAAGGAATTTAATGCACGAGAAACGTTAATATTATATAAGAAGCAGAATTTTATGATTATATTATTTTCGTTGATGATGTCAATGTCAAAATATCTTCATAATTTCTTATAACAGTCTAGGCCATGTATTCTCATGATATTTAAGCAATGGATATTGAAAGAATCAAAATCTAATATAAAAATAGATATGCATATTAAGCACGTGATGATACGTCATCCTACATATTAACTCCAATTGTTGAAAAACGTTCTACGGAATTTCACCCATGTTTTCTATTCTGTATTTAGAAATTGAATAATAGGATTGAATTTAATATGCATTTATAAAACTCAATTTATTGTCTAAATATCACTTCAAGTAATATAAGTAAGCAATATCGAACTTTATAGGAAATAAATGCATTTCAGATAATTATAAGAAACTTATTTCGATCAAGTATATATAATAATTAAATTATTAATGTTATCATTGTTAATGAATGTTAATGATATCATTGAGAACATATTCAAATCTTTCAGAAATATGCGGATATTATTCTATCAAATAAATAAATAAATAATATCAATCTACATCTCAACTCTCAATACTTTTATATTTTTGTCAGACAATACGTAAATAATAGATAATAATTAATAATAATAATGTTTCTCAAATAATCAATGATATATTATAACATATGAATATTTAAATACACGGAAAGAACAACTTTGTTAAATTATCTAAAAATTTGACTAGATACAAGTCTTAAAATAATTTTGTTCGATCATCAAAATAATTACGTAAGATATGTTAATTTCTAGAATATAAAAAATTTTGCAGCATTTTTATCAAGTAGTATCGTCTAACATAATTTTTTTGATATTTAGTCTGATAAAATCTGTATCTAATCAAATTTCTAAATACTTTAGCAAAAACGTTCCGTGCAGGAATCACGTGTCTGAAATACTGCTCGATATACATGCAAATTTATACATGTTAAGGCATTATAGATTTGTGTATATCTCGTACTATTCACGAATCTCATATAAATTACGCATAGCCTGACCACTAGCTTTAGAGAATACTTGATCCCTAGTCGTACCGTTTACGTTTACATCTCTAACTTTTCGAATAATTGTACAATCATTTTTAATATATATATAT